AAAATAACTTGAATTTTTACTTTTAAAAAGTTTTAACATTTAGTACAAAACAATGCACATGAAGCCACTTTGATCCTCAGGAATTTTGCCAATGATAAACACTCAGCTGCCTCATGGGGAATTCTAATATTTTTTGCTATTTAAGGATGAAAAAATGATGCCCAAATATGACCAAAGTATAATTTAGAAATAAGCTGGAACAGGTTTCCAGACTTCTTTTCCCCTTATTTCACAAAAGAAAAGTATTGAAGCATCCTATACATTTTCACATCTAAAGACTCCTTATTACATGCTGGCAAAAGACAGATGAGCACCAGCAATAGCAATTACTTTACTAAATAATTATTGTGTTATGGTGGTGCAACTGTGGAGCTGATTCAGTTGTAGCTGAGATGGCACTTGGAGAAATTACTGGGGAAACTGCTGTTGCTGTTACAGCTGCAGTTTGAGGAAGGGGGAGGGGGGCTCACAGTTTCTGGTTTTTCACCCTGGTGAAGCTGGAGAGCTGTCAGGATGGTTGTCTGCTGCCACATTGACCTCCTCAACAGTCATCTGAGCTACAGTACAAAAGGCAGTACTGCACTTTCTTGGCCACCACAAAGGGGGGACAATGCTGGAACAGAGCTGCTGGAGGCCTTCTTTTTCCTTTTGGGATCAGCCTGCTGTTTCATCAACTGGCCAATATGGGGTTATATCAGGTGCCTGCGACAGTCCCAGGAGGTCTGGGCAAGCCTCCTGTCAATTATTCCTGCATGAACCTCCTGCCTCCAGTGACTCTAGTCCTATTGCCTATTTTGCCTTGTGATCCTCAGGGAAAGAGACCTGTGACACCCTCCTGGTATTGGAAGCTCTTGGCCCCAAAGAGGAGGAGGTAGCAGCTACAGGGTCAGCTTTTAAAAGGTTGCAGATATGAAAAATTATATTCCAGAGAGCTGTTCAGGGGGTGGGATGTGCACACATTGGGGTATATATGCAATTTAAGCAAAGTTGCCTTTGAAAAAATCAGAAGAAATGGGAGAGAATAATTCAAAAGGAATTTGCAATATAGAGCAAAGAACAGCTGTAAAGAAATTGAACAAAAGTTTGTGTAAGGCACAAACAAGTACTGGCAAAACTCCTCTGAAAGGGTCAAACAGACATAATGCTATGCACACAATTGTTAATTATGTGAATGGTATTGTGCCTACTTTTATCATCTGGCTTCCCAGTTCTTTTGAGAGATACCCAACTAGTGAAGTACCATACCCTTTTTCTCATTTTTATCTTGTTCACTATCGGGGTTGTACAGTTCATCATCATGATCAGGTGCATCAGTCAAGATATCATCCAAAACATTCAGTTCACCATCTGTAAACAAAATGGTAAACAAACAAACATTTACAAGTGCTGCAGCATAGCTTTTAAAGTGGTATCAGAAAATACAATTAATTTAAATGCTGCTGCAATCCAATCCTAAAGATTTCTTAAAGATGTTTGACTAGTAATACAAGTTCTTCTAGAATTAGAGTGAAGAATAGCAAGAACCACTTTGAATAATTTTATAAAATCATCCTGAAAAGAAACAACACAGTGCATCAAAGTTCTAGTGGCAAATATTGCATGAAGGGGATTCTGAGGATTGCCCTCCTCCCTGATTTATGTTGGTGACCATCCTGGTCTCAGGATGGAGCCAAGAGAAACTTCCTTCCTATAAGAGAAGGTCACTGGTCAGGAACTCAGGATGGTTCTTTCATAAATTGCATAGGGGTTGCCTAACCTACAGGCCACCCCTGTTCCCAAAGCTCGTAAGTGCTACACTCCACAGGTGCCCTGATCCTACTACAGCATTACACGCAGTGCCCATTTCCAGCCTTTTAAATGCTTTTTTACTATTATAGCCATTACATCTGCCAGCACTACTGTCAATTGCTACCCTTCTCTCAGCAGCTTCCACATATAAACACACACAGGAATCCTGTTCCCTCAACCAGAACAACCTATCTGCTGTCAAAGTTGCTGCAGTCGTTGCTGCTGATTTGCACCAGAGAAAATACACTAGCAACACTTTCAGCAAGTGTTTACCAGGGATGTTAATCACCTCTTCCTCCCAACATCACAAGTAGCCCTCAGGGCCAAAAAGGGTGTTGTACACCACTTCTGCAGAGACAGCTTCATGGCAGTTAAAATCATAAAACAGGGAGCTTAAAATTATAGAATAGTAGCCTAATGCTAGGAACAATAGATGGCAAAAGAAGAAGGGGACGGCAGAGAATGAGGTGTCTAGATGGAGTCACTGAAGCAGTCAGCATGAGCTTAAGTGGACTCCAGGGAATGATGGAGGACAGGAAGGCCTGGAGGAATGTTGCCCATGGGGTTGCGATGGCTGGGACATGACTTCGCAACTAACAACAACAAAAGAATTGGAACGGGCCAAGAAGGTCATCAGGTCCAACCCCCTTGCTGTTGGCAGGACACCCATTTACACAATTTCACTCAGATGATTCTTTTTTAATGTCGCTACTATGGATGAGCACACAACCTGCTAGTTTGCTTATCAGGATACCATGAGGCTTGATGGAGTTGTCCTCCTCTCTTCCAATGTTAGCTGTGATTCTGACTTATTTGATCATATATCAATCCCAGTCAATTTAAAACAATGGAGAAAAAACTCACATTACCAGACACAATATATGAAACAATGCTTGATCCCCTTTCCCACAAACATCCAGTCCAAACAGGCAACTACAGAAAACTCTCCAAAGCCACATTCCAACAAGTGGGCATGCTTTTCTTTTCATGAAAGGCAACCAGGTCTGTCACAGCATCTGTGCTACTCTTTGTAGTTTAAACCTCAGAATTTTCCCATTACATACAGCTGTTTACCTCCACTGCTCCATAAAAATTTTAGTCAATCATAACCTGAACGTCAATGCAATTCGTGACTGCATTAACAGAATTATAGGTCCTGAACTGCAAGAAGTTTATTCTGTGTTAGACTTAGTACTGCAACCAGTTCTGGGTACTACTCTTTAAGAATAATGTAAACAAATTGAATCACATTCAGGATGGCAAAAGTCATTCAAATAAGTGGGCTTGGTATACTTAGCTTGAAAAGGTAAAGCACTTTTCAACTAAAACTGCTGTGAGTTAGAATACGACATAGACTTTACCCACACACTGTAGGCAAAATTCCCCCATGCCCAACAGATAATCAAGTGCAGCATAGGCTTATGTCCCTCCCCGACCCCAGCTGTGGTCCTCCTGCAGTGTCCCAAAAGACATAGCAAGAGCGCTAACGAAACCGAGCCTATAAGCCATCCTGGTCACCCATGTCTTGTTCTAGCATTTAGTTAACCCACCATGAATTAATACTCCAGCTAAACCCAGAAGACACATAAAGCCATGTTCAAGACAAAAATTAAAAGAGTCCCTTATCCAGAATGACAAAAAAGCATTTAGCACTGTGGCCAAGGGGCTCTTGGTACAAGAGCACAAGGTACGAGGGGTGTTCAATGTAGTCTCGGTATCAGCATGAAGAAAAAGGAGTAATAAATTGAAATAATTTTTATTTTTCAGTGTAATCCCCCATAACCTCAATACACTTATTACATCTAGAAATTAACTTTTCAATTCCCTGTAAAAAATACCCTTCCTTGTCTAAAAAATGTGTGTTAATTGCCACCTTGAGCTCTTCATCGTCGGAAAATCGCTTTCCACAAAGACATTTGTTTACATTTGGGAATAAGTTGTAGTCACTGGGGGCCAGGTCCGGGCTATAGGGTGGGTGGTTTATTTCTTTGAAACCACAGTCTTGCACAGCAGCCTTCAAAACACACACCGTGTGAATGGATGTGTTGTCGTGAAGAAGCAACACACCTGCGGTCAGTTTCCCCTGCCTTTTTTCTTTAATTGCTTCTCTTAAATTACACAGAGTGGTTGCATAAGATACTGTGTTTATGGTTTCACCTTTTTTCATGTATTTGATCAATTAAATTCCCTTTGAGTCCCAGAACACTGTGGCCATGATTTCTCCAGCCGATGGAGTGACTTTGAATTTCTTCAGAGGGTCAGCACCTTTTTTATGCCACTGCATGGACTCCTGCTTACTTTCAGGGTCATAGTGATGAACCCAGGTTTCATCTCCAGTAACAATCCAGTTAAAAATACTTGATGGATCTTCACCACAGAGCTCTAAAAACTCCCTACAGCACTCGACTCGAATTTGTTTCTGAGGCGCCATGAGCATTCGCGGCACCCATCTCGCCCAGACCATGAAAGGTTAAGATGGTCATGAAAAATAGTAAATATGGTACCAACGGATAGGTTTGTCATCTCAGCTAACATTTTGATTTTTATTCGGGCATCTTCCAATACAAGTTTCTCAATTTCTTTCACATTTTCTTTCGTAGTGGCAGTAACTGGCCCGCCCGAGTGAGGGTCGTCTTCAATGCTTTCTCTGCCCCTTTTAAATTCACTTGACCACTTTTGAACAGTAGATAATGAAGGTGCAGAGTCCTGGTAAACAGCTACCATCTCTTTGTGAATGATTTTTTGACTTTCTCCTTGTTTTGTAAGGAACTTAATCACAGTGCTCAATTTTCTTCAACATTGTCACGTCAGTCATTATGGTCATCTTTCACTGAGGACTAGTAGGGAACTAATGATCACATTATTTGAAATTTTGCAATGTATACCCTCAGATAGTGTCATTAGCTAATGAAATAATTAAATTACCCACATCAATAGCAAATCAACCCGATACCGAGAATACATTGAACGCCCCTCGTACTTTTGCCATAGTGTGTGGGCAACATTCCGGGGGGGGGGGGAGTGCTGTGTTGTGTAACATGTTGTGTGACTCTGCCCAAACTCTGCTGCCTCAAGAGGATAGGAGTAGATGAAATGAACCTAGATAATAAAAGAGTAGTTTTCAATCGAATTTAAGAAAGTTCTTAGCGTTAGGAGTGCTTGTCAATGGAACTGATTATTGGAGGGGGGTGACAGGCTCGCTCTCGTTGCAGATCTTTCAAGGAGAGGCTTGCCAGCTATCTATTAGGAGATGCTCTAACTATGGATTTTTGTATCAAAAGGATGGACTAGATGGTGTGCAAGAAGCCCTCTAAAGGCAGGTCACTTACCTGTAAATGTATTCTTTGAGTGCTCATCTGTGCATTCACGCATGAACTTTGCACCTGTGCAAAGCCTATTGTTGGAAAGTTACTATAGCTAAGCATTCATGTGGGCGGGAGCCCTTCCCCTTCCTGTTCCCAGGAAACATGGGAAGAAGCTCCTGCCCATTCCCTCAGTTCCTATAGAGACCACCATGAATCTCTGAACTGAGGGGAAGGATAGAGGATCCCGATCCATTCCAGCCCCAAGTGTCTATGAAGAGTAAGGAGGCAACTATTGGAGAGATGACAGCAAGCTGGGCTAGAGGGTAGGTTGTGTGAATGCACAGATGACCACTCTTCTGCCTTTCTTCTTTGTGGTCTCTGTGCATCACACATATGGACTAGATTACCCTGTGAAGGATGAAGGGATGTTGTCATCACTGAAGGACAGAGAAAAGGACTGCCCAAGCAAACAAGCAGTCTGCCCTTGCATAAACATCCAGCTAGTAGTGTCTGATGAATACTGAGGGTGTGGACTGCTCTGCAGAATCTTGCAGAAGGATCCTGGCATGGAGGGCCATGGACATAGCCAATGTTTCCATGGGGTGGGCCTTTGGTCATGTAAGGAGATTAAGGCCTGCCATCTCGTATGCCAAGGTAATGGTGTTGCAGACCTATCTGGATAGTCTGTGTGATGAGAGCGCATCTCATCTTCTAGTCGTTGTGGCATGTGAACAACCTTGGCAAGAGGCAGAACAGCTCAGTTCTGAATTTGTAGAAGTCAAGAGCCCTCTAACATCAAGCAGGTGCAGGGTGAATTCTACTGCGGTGACAACAGGGAAGGCAGGGAGAATTATGTCCTGATTGAGAAGGATGGGTGAGATGACCTTGGGCTGAAAGGATGGGACTGAATGAAGTGCGGCATTGTCCCTGTGTAAGTTTAGATATGGTGGGGCTACCCAGAGAGCACAGAGCTCACTGGTGCAGCAGGCAAATATGAAGACTACTAGGAAGGCCAACTTCCAGGATAGGAGGCATACGTTGGTTGTAGCCAGAGGCTTGAAGAACGCTGCACCATTGAGGAGAATAAGAAATAAAAGATAGGGAAAGACAATAGATGGGTTTTTTTGGGTTTTTTATGGGGAGATGTGTGATGGGAAGGGAAAGGGAAGGGTTGTGAGGAGGGTTTTAGGTTGTAAGGTTTGTGAGGGATTTAGGTTGAGAAAGATTAAAAAAAAGTTTAAAGTTAAAGTAGAAGAAGTTTGTGAGGGAAATTGAAAGCAATGAGAGAACCCAAACCATGGTAAATGGCGGTTGAAAGTGGACTGGCCAGAAGGCAGGGATTCCACCCATTTATACCAGGGGGTAGGGGAGTGGAGTTCCTGTCAAAAATGTTACTGAATCTTCCCAAATACAGGCACTGTGCAGGCACAGCACCCATATGTGTGATGCACAGAGACCATGACAAAGAATATAAATTTTTGCAGGTTTCTTTAAAGAGTGAAAAGAAAAAGTGGTTGCTGTAGGTAAAGGAGAGAAAAAATATTAGAAAGCTTAATACCTAGGATGGAAGAGAGAGATGCAATTTCCAATCTAGGCATGATGGCAGTCGAAAAAGAACTGAGGGGATAGGTGGGAGCCTCGCCTCATGCTTCCTAAAAACAGGAAGGGGAAGGGCTCCCACCCATGTGAATACTGAACTATAGAAGCTTCCCAACAGTAGGTTCTGTGCAGGGACTTTATTTAACAGGGAATTAAACTGTGTCTTTGCAAGACATTAGGCTTATTTTAATTCCTAAACCACATCACGGTTATTGTACTTGTTCAGTCTTTAGACTATTCCATGACATGGTGAATAAGTTTATATTATTTTAGTCTCTACTGACAAATAAGATTTTGACGGGTTTTATAAAAAAAACAACTACAGGTTTGGTGGGCTGTTTTCCTCACAAAACTGCATATTAAAATTCAATAGCTAAATTCCTTATCAGAAGTTCACTATCAGAAATAATATTGATGTTCGGAATAATCAGATAAGCATATCATCCATCCCTTGTATAATTTGTTATTGAGAACTATGCAGTTTCAATAAGGGCAAGTTCTATGGCAGTTGGTTCTAGCCAGGCCAATGGAAGGGGCCTTACTTTCCCAACTATCATATATGCAGCAAGGTGGATTTATAAATACATGCACCAGGTTCCCAGGAATTAGACATGGCCAGTGGGGTTTTTATTCCCTTTCAAGCAGCACATCTCTGCCATCCTTACTCTGCCATTTTGCAAAATGCATTTCAAACTTTCTTTAATCCTCAAAAGAGGTTTGGCAAGCAACATGTAGCCCATAGATTATATAATGAAGCTGAGCATATAATTATTTAATTTTAAAAATGGGTTAAGTATAACAGTGGTTTCCAAACATTTTCACGAGTATGCCTTGGCAGCCTATTTCCATAAATTGTACCCTTCATATTAGCAAAATGTTTATAATTAATATAGTTGCTGATATTGCAAATGTATATGTTGTGACTGTGAATAAATAGCCCAATAATGGGATTAAAAGGTAATGGAATAATAAGGTGAACAAACAGTGCATTTATATTTACATTCAAAACTCAAAACATACAATTACTTCAAGTAAATACATCACAGATTACAAAACAAACTACATCACATTAATTAATACATTTATTACTTTAAATTATTAATAATTGAAAGTGCAATAGTATTTATTTATAATTTTATAAATTTATATACTCCACATGGACTCCCTGGACCATAATTTGTTTTGAAATAATATTTATGAAACACACAAAAATTTTATACACAACAAATATTCAGTGCAATCTGTGAGCTTGTTTTGAGGCACACAGTTTTTTGAAATCAGGTTCAACTGATAAGATAATCTTAAATCTGGAACTGCATTCAGCTTACTATGGTATTTATTTTTTAGATGGCAAAAGAAGGGGACGGCAGAGTATGAGGTGGCTAGATGGAGTCACTGAAGCGGTGTGAGCTTAAGTGGACTCTGGGGGATGGTGGAGGACAGGAAGGCCTGGAGGAATGTTGTCCATGGGATCACGATGGGTCGGACACAACTTCACAACTAACAACAACAACAAGAGAAAGCCCTCTCACTCAGCTCCGTATTTGTAAATAGCAACAGAAACTAAAGTGTCTTGTCAGAAAACTGTTGGCTCTTTGTTGATGTCTGCCCAAAAGTTTACAGGACTGAGGTGCCCGTTTAATATACACCAGTACCAGTGTGACACCACGCAAATGTTTGTGAAGCAGAGGAGAGTGAAAACTGAGCCTGTGGGGGTGTGCTGCTGAACATGCACACTGTAGCAACAGTTTTGCAACACATTGTTTAGGGAGGGACTTCCCACCATTTGCCAAAATAATACAGTGCGAGAACAGAACTTTTCTAGAAGTTAAATAAAGAAAACCTGCTCCATCACTTGTCATAATATTCAATTTATTTCACAATTTCTGAATTGCATCTTTTCTTACACTATTGATGTATGCATATTATCCTGCCACTATTCATTTTTTTCACACACTTCAAAATGTCCTGGTTCGCATCCTGGGTGTATGTGTGCCATAGGCTGGTAATCACTGATGCATAAGATAGAAAGCGAAGGGGGAATTTTACTGAAAATTCAGTATCACTATAAATTATTTGGAAATTTTTATTATTGTCTCTGTCCTTTATATTTAGCAGAATTTAGTGGAAGTACTCTTCACAGAAATGGGTGTTGTCATTTAAATGTTCACGTATAATACACGTGGAAGCAATCTGGCCTCATTGTACCAGAAAAAAAGCTGGAACATATAATAGTGAGCTCCAGTAAAGATGCTGGAAACCACAGAATGTGGAGACAGCATTTCAAGCATGTGGAGGTTTGTCCTTCACTTCATAATAGCTTCCTATGTCACAATTTCCTGACACACTTTCTTTGCCTTCTTTGCCAAGAATGTATACAATATGCTGCAAGACTTCATAAAGATTCATAATTTGCTCAGCTTGTAAAACTGGTTTCTTTGGCACAAATTTTGAATTTCGGAACACACAGGTAGGTTAGGCTGAGTGTCAATGACTGGCTCAAAATCACCCAGTGTGCTTCATGGCTGAGCAGGGTCTAGGTCCCCAATCCAACTCTAACCATCATGCCATACTGGCTGTAATGTGGCCTTTCATCTCAGATTTGGAACTAGCAACCATCACTTTATGCCTTCATAACTTCAAGATTAGAATATTCTTATGGGTTCATTGGCACATGGATTGTCAGAAGCAAATTATACTGGTGCTCCAATATCTGCACTTGTTCCACCTACACGTTTACTTCAAGCTACTAATTATGACTTTAAATGCTTGTGGCCTGAACCCAATATATCTCCCTCCACCACCATTTCTAAGACAGACTTTATTTTCTCTTTTACCATTTTTATATATATAAAGCATGGAACTGCGAGAGACTATGACAAGTTACTGGCATTCTTCTAACTGGCTAATAGGCCTTATGGCTAACGGGGCAGGATAAAATTTTAATTACTAAGTAAGAATTTCTGAAAAGTCCTTTGTCTGGCCATTTAAAAAAAGTATATAGATATGGGTTGGGATGAAGCTCATACTTTTATGTATCTGTAACCATTTTTTGGGTGCTTTTTCTTGATACATGCTCCAGACTTTGTGATGGGCTAGTCTATCAATAAAACAAACCAAATGTAAACTAGATCAGAGCAGAAAACTTTTTTCTGAGTACTGAAATCCTCTTTATAAAGGATGGACCTTTATAGGATTTATCTTTAGCAGTTTAAACAGACAACTGTTAAAAACAAAACTAGAGTAATGCACTGGCTAATGCACTGTTACTGTGTGTAATAGGTAATATATGTTGGAGAAGGACAAATAGTAGGACCACATATGATAATGTTCAGGTCTTTTGCCATACTTACTATTATTATTTCATTTCTATACTGCCCTGTAGCTGAAGCTCTCTGGGTGGTTTAGAGAGTGGCTTTTCATTTGATAAAACAAAACAAAAACCACAATACAAATAACATAACACAACATTACAAAATTGAAATTAATTTATACATGCAAAGAAATAATATTTAGCCTAAAATGTCAGATTCCTAGATGTCAGCATCACTTTTTCTTGGAATATTTTTATTTCTTTTTCAATTTATATCCTGCCTTTTTCCTACAAAGGGCTCAAGGCAGCTTACATCATTCTCCTCCTCCATCTTATTCCCACAACAATCCTGTGAGGTAGGTTGGGCTGAGAGTCTGTGACTGGCCCAAAGTCACCCAGCTGGCTCCATGGCTGAGCCGGGACTAGAACCCAGATCGTCTGAGTCCCAGTCCCACGCTCTTAACCACTACACCACACCAGGGTATTTTCCATATTTGCCATCTGAGTCAGCATCCTCAAACTATAGATTCATTTTGCCTCAAAATATGAATGCACAGGGTGCATCCCTCAGTTTGTTTCAAACTCATTAAGATAATCTTATGTTAGACAGCTCTTATAAGAGTAACCTGCCCTAAAATTCCCATTAGCACGCACTATGCAGAAGTACTGCAGTCACCACCTTTGCAGTCCATTTGCTCCATGAGAAACAAAACAAGTTCCTCACAGAAACTTGCTCTTTTCTCGATTCAGAAAGCTTCCTAAGGCAAATCCATTTAGGGGATAAATCTTTAATATAAAGATAAATGCATTGTTATATCAAGGAACAAACTGATTCTAAAGGAATACTATATCTTGCATACCCAATGTTGTCCTTTGCATTGGTAAACGTCTTGGTTCTACTCTATTTACTCAGAACTAACGCCTGTTGATTTCAGTGGAATTTACATCTAACTTATGTTTGTTTAGAATGGCAAACTTTCCAACTCTTTGCATAGGCCCATGTCTCGCTCACCTATTTTACCACATTATTCTGCACTACAGGTTGAATAATGTTGGAATGCATTAATGTTGAACTAAATACTCCTCTAAAATAAGTACAAAAAGGCCTCAAATCATGCACATTCATCTCATAACCTGGGAAAAATCATGGCTAAACAAGTTTTTGTGCTAGGAAGAAAAACACAGAAATTTACTCAACAGCAATGAAGAATAAAGCAGAATATTCTTCCTGCTGAAAACCAACATATTAGCATATGTAATACCATAAACTCAGTTTAGCTCAGTAACCAAGTGTGCAAAGCTATGATTTCCCTGGCTCAATCTCACCTCAACAAATAAGTCACTTAGGTTTGCTATCATTCTTTCAGTCATAGAAATAATATTAGCACTGGGCCATCATATGAAGATTTCTAAGTTGTCGTTTATTAAACAAATAACAAAACAAAACAGAAATCATTAACGCAGGATCAGTCCAGGCAAAGCTTTCTATGTACAAGTCTCTTCTCCTGAAATCAAGAGAACCTGCAGTTATTTAGTTATGGGCTCTACTGTGCCAGTTAACATTTCACTCCATTCAATTAACTCTCGCCCATCCGCCTACAACTCTGAAGAAGGGCACTGAACTATTCCCGAAAATGCGCTCAGGATGGGACTTTGGTGAATCAGCAGTGAGAGGGCAGGCAGTGAGCGAGAAGTTTTTAAATACTGCCAAGGCTTCAGAAACAAGACGGAAGCGAACGACCGGAGTCCTTCTGGGAGGAGAAAGTTCGGATGAAGGGATCTACGGCCTGACCAAGTCGGGCAAACACACGCCCCCTCCCCGGGCCCAGCCAGACCCCGTTGCCATGGCAGCGAGCGGTTCAGAGAGGGAAAGAGAATGGGCGGAGAAAGAAAGGGAAACCTTCAGTACCTTTTTCCTCCCGGCTCTCCGCCGCCATCGTTTCCGCGCAGCCGACACTGGCTCCCAGGCACGGACAGAGCGTTTGTGTGAGAAAAAGGACGCCACTCGTTTATGTGAAGAAGCGAGAGAAAGGGGATGCTACAAAAGAGATGGAACAAGAGGCCTCAGCAGCACCCACACACACAACTAGATCTCTTTAGTAGCTCCCCCAACACCGACCAAAATGGAGGATCCCCCGTCCCAACCACCCCTCCCTCTTCCTTTTTTTGTTCCTACTTCCTACGCGACAATTCTCCCCCTCCCATAATGCTTCACGCTACTTAACTCCCCCTGATGTCACAGGGCGCAGCGTGTGACTTCATCGCCTAAAAACACTAAACAAACAGTCCACCATAGAGATAGAATTAGAAGAGTGAGAAACCGTGGTAGAAAGGCGGGTGAAACGTTTCGAACTCGGCCTTAGCGCCTGGGAACTTAGTGGTTCATCTTAGAAACACAGAAACAGAGCGAGTCAGAAGGGGTCTCCCGGACCATCTAGTCTGACCCCTGGCTCCAGCCGGCTCCGCTCACGACATGCCCACCATGTGCATGTCCAGCCTAATATTCTTGTGGAAGCCCTGTGTAAATCTTCCTCGGGAATGGGGAAGACAACAAACCGGTAGAGAAATACAGAATGTTCGTATAGATGTTGTCTTCCTGCACCCCAACCAAAAAGGTAACAGGCTTTCTGCGCCTTTTATTTCAGGTGTTCTCTTTTTAAACATTTTAAAAGTAGCCCTGCTAACATACGACACAGCAGTCCATTTCCCTCACGTTGCAGGTTGGTGGCTGAGAAAAAAGGGTAGATGTGTGGGACGGCTCTACAATGTAGTTCATCATTCATAGCCCGAAATACCCCATTTAAAACGGGCTCAACTTTCAGCAAAGATCCGTCTCCTTACTAAGCCCCTCACCTCGCCCGAACCCGTGCTTAATTGCATGCAGTTGAGATGAATGCAGCCGGCTGTAGTTTACACGCGCACTCCCCCCCCCCCCACATATTCCACGCTGAGTAAGACTGGAGTTTAAAAGAGTAGGAACTCTCATTTTTGCTGCTATCTTTTGTTTTGAGCTAAGCGTGGAAGCTACTGCCTAACCATAAATAATGACATTTGATGCACACATGAGAACGTTATTTCAGGGCTGAAATACCTTGCAGTTTTAGATTATTGACTCCATAATGCCTAGGATCCACACAGAACTGAAATACCTCAGATCACTTTTTATTTCAAACACTACCGATTAAACAGCCACAGAAACATCTTTTTAAATGCAAAAAAGTTTAATTCATTCTTAATAGGAACAAGTCAAGAGTTACCAAAAGTATAATAT